CTGTAGTAGTAGCTAGACCAAAATTAGTCTTTGCTGAGCATTTGTATGTCTTGGAGGTGGTCGATTAGCATTTGTCTGTTGGGCATTCGGTCGTTGACATTTATACGCAGAACTAGCTTGATTCTGTAAGGTGTTTTTCTCCTTGAACATTTCAGTTTCACAATAGACGTTTATACACCATTCGATAGAGAATTTCAAGAGCTACATTTTGCACTATTTGTATTTCAAGATAGATAAAATTGACTTTTTGGCCTAATGTCCGCTTAGTTGCCCACTGTGAATTCTTTTTACGCAAATAGTTCGTGAGGTACAAGTTGTAGAGGAACTTATTGGCTATGCGAAAAATACTCTTACGTTTGACTTGAAAACTGTAGCATATCGTCTAGTACATACGGAAGGTAATGGATGCCGTCTTCTTATGTTTGTGGAAAATGTTGAATCGTTCTCTTTTCTTCATGATGAGACGAATTGGCCACAAACTCTGGTTGGTCTTCAATATGTTAAAAAATTGCCATCCATTCCTCCACAATTTTCTTTAGTTCTACCTTCAGTCCCCCTTCAAATGAATCGTGATTGGGATGAATTCATGCTAGACATAAAAAATCAATATGTGGATGTGGTAAACGTAATTCGTTCAAAAAATAAATCTCAGCAGCCTGTTCGTTCCGTTAAAATAGAAGTAAAGTCAGTGAAATGTCGACAAGATATACCGACTAGTGGACAGATCTTTGCTATGCATATGAAATTTAAAGTGGTGGAATATTATGCTCAAGCGAATGTGTTGATTTGTTCGACTTGCTATAAAAATTGGTCATTTTCGAAAAAATTGCCCCAGCAAGGAGAATCTACATGTAAAGTTTGCGGCGAAAAATGCGCAAATTTGACAGAGCACGAGTGTAGTGGAGTTCAAAAGTGCATTCATTGTGGAAAACAACATAATTCCAATGATACGAAATGCCTCGTGGTAAAAGACTACCGTGCTGCGCTTACTCGAAACATGCTGTCGAAAGTATCATATGGGATATGCTATGGGACAACCATCTTCTGTCGACTTTCCTCGTCTTAATCCAAAGGACATCTGTTTATTCTAATACTATTGCGGGATTTATTCCTAACCAGTTGGATGAACTATCGAACAAATTCGATTCTGTTCTACTTAAGTTGGAAGATGAATCGAAGAAGACCCGTGAGTCACTAAAACAAATCAAAGAGGAAATGAAAACAGGAAATGAAGAATTAAAGCAAAAAGTCTTACAAGTGGAAAAGAATGTGGACTCAATGGAACAAAAGTTCAGATCGTTTGTTAGTGCTAATAACGATATATTGCAAAGAATATGTGTATGTTTAGGTGAAAATTTCAAAGACAATTCATGGAAACAAGGGGTACAAATATATTTACGAGAAGTTAATTTGTTATTCGAACCAAGTTCAAGTCCTATGAATTCCAATGGCTAATACTGATTTGTTCGATATTAAAGCTACGCGTTTTCTTCAATCCGCACATAGTATTCTAACGCCAAAAAACTATTCGTTATTATCTCAAATTCTACTCGACTGGCATTCCTCATCTACATTTAACCAACTACTTTCGTTATGGAGGCCATTCAAAAAGTCAACAATTCGTGATTCATTCTCATTTCTACATGTGCTGTGTTTTAATGTACGTGGATTGAATCTACATTGGGGAGAAGTCTGTCTATTAACATCGAAACATAAATTTGATATCATGGTATTGGGAGAAGTAGGACATTTGGATTTTGCTACTATCGGCGCAAGTTTCCCTAATCATCGTTATTACTATCAACCTGGAGAAAACGCACATGGTGGCGTTTTGGTGCTCATTCGTTCAGGTGTACCGGTTACAAGATTTACCTGTCCGTTAGCTAATGTATATGTACTCGACTGTCATCTCGAAGAGCCTGTTCGAATTATTTCGATGTATGCGCCAGAATGTAAAACGTGGAAATGGTCCGATTTATCATCATTCATAACAATTCGTTGCGTTGTCTTAGGAGACTTCAATGTTGATTTGGAAAAAGATAAGGCCGAACGTCTTTTGGAATGGATGGATTTCTTGCTCTCTTGGTCCCTTTGTACCTGATACTAATACGTCGCTTCGTTCGGACCGTGTTATTGATTATGCACTAGCTTTAGGAGTAAACATAACAGTCCAAGCAAATGAAGAAATGACATCAAGTGATCATAAACCATTGTTTTGTACCTTGGCATGTGAAGGAAAAGAAGCAAACCAAGGAAGTCGTACAGCGTGGGATGTTTTCTCATTAGCTTTATCGTATACTTTTGATTTCTGGGGAAAACAATGGAATTTTGGACAATATGATGAGACATATGAACAATTTATTTCATTCTTGTCATTATTATCTGCTAGATGTACATCACATTTTCCTCTCAATCGTGCGCGTTCAGCGGTACCATCCGATATTCTAGTTTTATTATCGAAAAGTCGTTCACTGGCTTTCAAAGCAAAACGAAAAGGTGAAATAAAACTTCGAGAAGAAGCACGAATTCTACGAAATTGGGCTCGTTACGAGTTGAAAAAATTCCAACAAGAACAGCTTGCTCGATATTTGAAAGATAGATAAACCTGGTGAAGGTTCGACAATATTTTGGAGTAAAACAAAGAGACATTTCTGTACTTCTTCGGCTACAATACGTGGTTTTCTGTCACCAACGGGTGAAACTGTAAAAGATCCTCAGAAAATGGTGGATATGGTTGCAGACTATTATGAGTCATTGTATAAAGAACCAGTAGTAATGCGACTTCATTCCTATGTGGATTCACCTTTAGTTGAATGGGATCACGTCCTTGATACGATACCTACAGTCACTTATCCAGAATTAATCAAATCTCTATCTAAAAAGAAGAAAAAACGTTCGTGTGATATTCATGGTTTATCTCCCTATATGTTAAGCCAGATGCCTCGTAACTATTGGCATATTTTTGTACGTCTCTATAATCATTCGTTTACAACTTGCTTCATGCCAAAAAAGTTCAAAGAAGTTCGAATGATATTATTAGCGAAAAAGAATGCAGTTTGCGCACCTGATGAAACAAGACCTATTTCTCTATTGGACTCCTTTATGAAAGTTCAGGAACGATTATTTTTGGATCGCTTTCTGCAAGTGCTAAAAGACAAAGGTATACTTCCAGATACTCAATCTGGTTTTCGGGCGAATCATCGTCTTCAAACTCGTGTTCTACTTCTTATAGAACAAATTTCTTCCTACATGTCTAACAGCTCGCCAGTGGCAACGGTATTTGTTGATTTTAAATCGGTATTTGATCAACTGTGGTTTTTGGGTTGTCTAGGGAAATTACCGAGAATGGGAATCCCAAAATCGTATGTTAATTGGGTACGAGCGTGGCTTATAAATCGGAAAGGGACAATAGAAATATTCGGTAAGAGATCGAGATGGTTTGTAATACTTCGAGGTGGTCCTCAAGGCTCGAGTCTTACACCAACGTTATTTATAACTTATCATAGCGACATGGGAGATTTTATACCAATGGCTATGTCATTCTTTTTCGCTGATGATCTTGCTGCCGTAGTAGCCGGTCAAATTGGAATTCGTTTCACTGATCAATGCACAGATTTAGAACGTCGATTGCATTCTTTCTTCGAGCGTCTGGAATTTCCTAATCCTATGCCTGAGTTGAAATGTGGAAATGAAACTATAGGATGGGTGGCTATATTTAAATATCTAGGATACTGGATAACGACTAAGCTGGGTTGGTGGAACATCATTGGAAAGATCCGTCTTAGTGTGCGACAACAGACAGTGGGGGATTATCACTAAATATAAGTAAATGTCAAGCAATTACTTTTTCGAGTAATTTCTTTAGGAAAACCGCCTTGCAATTACCTCCTCTCATCCTATCTGGAATTACCCTGCCAGAAGAAGATTGTGTAAAGTATCTTGGGCTGCTCTTAACTTTTAATTTATCATGGAACAAAC